TATATATATATAAATATAAAAGCGCCTGCTTTTATTTTGAAGTTCTTCCCTTTCGCAGCTTGTTTTTGTTCATCCTTTCCTCCTCCACGGCGCCCCCTGGCGGTCACTGCTCTCCTCTGTCGGGTCGTCATAATAAGCTGGTATCAGCGGCAGGGCTGTACATTCAGCGCAGGTTTTAAACGGCTCCCGGGCTGTAATGTCCTGACAGAGAGCAGAAGGTTTGCTTTGGGATCCGTAGAGGACAGCGGGGAGACCGCGGCGGACAGGTCCCTGAAGGGACGGAGATGGGACTCATCTTAGCCGCTGGGTTCGCTCCGTGTCGCCGTGAAGAAAGCTTCATTCGCTTTCGCTTACCTGGAGGCTGCAGCTCGGAGCCTTTAAATTAAACTTCAGGTTGGTGCGAAGCTGCTGTCGATTGGTTGTCTTTCCTCCGTTGATGTGCGCGGCGTAGACCTCTTGTTTAGTCTGCATGAGTCGTTTTTTTTTTATTTGCTGTGGAAGATATACGCAGTTTTCATTACATCGGCTTCTGCAGTGCCTCGGAAACATGCTGGGTGACCCAAAAATAACCACATCAAAGTTGGGGAGGGTGCAGGGGGGTTGCACGTTAAATCCCTCTGTTATAACCTGTAAAATAACGTTGCGTTTGTGTGTTTTCATCTCCAGGCTAAAAGTAAGTCGACCTGCTCTCAGTTCTGATCTTTCCACCTGGACCAGAGGATATGAGAGGCTGCAGGAGACGCTGATGGAGCTCCAGGAGTTGAGCTGGCTCTGTCTGGTGGCTCTCTTCCTCGCCTCCTTGCTCATAGTGCTGGGATGGCTGCTCCAGTACTCGCTCACTGTACTGCGGCTCTGGAAATCCAGGAAGGCAGCCAAGCAAGGCGGCCGAGAGACAGCCTGGCTGCAGCGGCAGCAGCATGTCTTCTCCACGCAGCCCAAACAGATGCAGGCTGGAGGCGTATGGGGCTTTCTGCTGATGAAGCTGCGCTCTGGCAAGGATGGAGCTGCTGCCTCTGAGGCCGGGGTCAAAGGCCTGCTGACCTCCCTGTTCTCCTTCAGGTCCTTCAGGGAGCACTGGCAAAGAACCTGGGTGAAGGCTCTGAACGAGCAAGCGTGTAGGCATGGGGTGAGTTGAGAGCCTAAGCAGGTAAAGGTGTTTTATACACTGATGCACCTGGGATTGCTCGATTAAATAGAGGCGTGAATAGTTAAGTGGGAGTTCATGAGCCCGTGGGAGGGAGGTGTGGGAGATTTTTTTTGTTTGAGTGTTTCTAATCGGTGAGAGGATGGATGGGTAGAGGCTTGCGTAACCGCTCTCAATCAATGCACAAAAGAGTAAAGAGGCGAGACTAGTCAGCGCAGCCACAGCAACACCCACACATAGTAAAAATAGTGCGTGATGGATGTGTGCTATACAGAGAGAAAATCACATCTCACCTTTTTCCAGATGCTTGTGTCAAAACAAGCTGCGTAAGTGAAAGAATCGTGGTGGTCAGTGTTTCGGACAACTGCCAGACTGAAAATTGTTAGGGGCTTATGATGCGCTTCTAAAGGTCCTTTTCCTCGAATAGTTCCTTTGATCTGTGTGAATCAAAAGTCTGGACTTCACAGTCGGGTGTTTCCACTGGGGACTTACAGGGGCAAAGAAAGGCTCCCCCTTTGCCCCTGGGACCCCCCCCCGCCCCCCACAACCCTCCTGTCACTCGCCCCACTTATAAAAAAAAAAAAAATGCTGCAAAGCGAACGTGTGTGGGAGTTTAAAGGGGGTCAGATCAATCCGCTCAGTGAACCTGCAGCCCAAATACGGCGACTCCATCCCCGCCGCTGCCAAATATAAGCAGGTAAACACCGGGCGAGCTGTCAATCAGGCATGATGAGTTCAGCACTCATGTCTAATTTAGGCAGGGATTGCCCTTTTCTTTCTTTCTTTTTTTAGTATTAGCACCTTTGTTCATTTTTGATGGGATTCCAAAGTACACCTTTTCCCAAAGAATTCGTCCCTGTAAGCTTCTCCACATTTTATCACTTTGCACTTTACGTGATAAACAAACACAAAATAGTGCAAACTGCGAAGCGGAAAGAAAAAAAACGCATGAGTTTCAAAATGATTTGCAAATGAAGAATCTAAGAAGTCTGGTATGTAGACTTTTTAGAGCCACTTTTCCTCAAAATTTGGTGGCAAATCTTTTGGCTATTTTTCTACCAGTGCAGACACTGAAGCTTTTCTTCCTTTCAAAATAGCTGCAGCTTAGTTACAAAATCTGCCCAGCTTACCTGAAGCCGCCGAAGAAAGGTCTCCCCTCAGCATGATGCTGCTACCACCATGTTTCACCATTTGGATGTGTTTGTTTTGGGTTATGCGCTGTTGTTTGCTACACATAGCATTTTATTGACTGCTGTGTCTTGTTGCCGCTCTTCCATTAATCCCAGATTTTTGATTGCGTGGAATCGTATTTACAGGTGTCGAAGTAAACGAGGCTGAATACAAATGCACAGAATATTTTTCTGATTATTTTTTGTGTAAAATTTATGAAAACCATTTACTATTGTAGTTCCTCTCGCCATGTTGCTTCGTGCCATCATCAAAAATTGCAGTAACAAAATAATAGTTTGTGGTGGTAAGGAGACAAAAAGGGGAAACGGTGAAAGCGTGCGAACCCTTTTACGGAATAATTTAGCACGATTCGTCTGAGTAAAATGATTTTTCCTAGAAAAAGTCTCATTTCCACTCCACTGCAGAAAGTGATAGTCGTGCCAGTGCCAGCTCGGTTATCTTTCAAGGTCCTAATTAGTTGATCCGTTTTGCCCTTTGAAGCTGTTGGTCACAAGTAACTCAGCCAGCCTCCACTGAGCCTTGGCTGCACTTTGGACACTTTAACGACTGTTTTATCCTTCCAGATGCCAGCCGCACTTTACTGAACCTTCATTCATAAGACGGCCATGCAGTCATAAAATAAACCACCACGCGGCCAACATGTGGTCACTGATAGCACAATCGCCTTTTAGCAAGGCAGTTATAGGGATTGTGCTCAGATTGAGCTGTTTTCACCGTTAACCCTTTAGAAATGGTTAAAAAGAGGAAGACTTTTTTATTTTATTTTTTATTTTTTTGGACTTGGCAGATGGGGTGAGGTAGAGACAAGCTGCCTGGGTCTTGTTTGTCTTTGCGAGAGCCAAAGTGTGCTGAGCTCAGTCATAGCAATAAAATATCTGCTGCGCACTGAGCAATCTGTCTCTAAATGTGTCTGGGTTGTATGCAAATCAGCGGATTGTTGTCGAACCCTTAAGCACCACAAATTTCACCCGTACTTTAGAGAGTAGATTAGAGGACGTGCACTTGGACCCTTTCTAGCCGAGATAATCCTTGCTTCCAGGTATAAAGGTCACATGATGTACAGTTAAAACCAGATATTGCAAAGCTATTTTTTCTGTGGGGCAATAAATCAGACTGAACATTTCTAGTTCTAGATCAGTAGGATTACTTGGAAGTATTTCTAGTTCTTTTGCTGGAACTTTGGCCCGTTCCTCCTGACAGAATTGTGTAACATCTGTGTAGGCCGCCTTCCTCCCGCACACCTTTTTAGCTGTTCTTGCAAATTTTCTTTGAGACTGAGATCAAGGCTTTGTGATGACTACTCGAAATTGTTGACTTCTTTGTTGCTCTTAAGTTACTTTGTAACCAACTTAGTGGTATAATTAGGCTCAATGTCCATTTGAAAGTCCCATTTTTGGCAATTTTTAACTCCTTGGCTGATGTGATGTCCTGCTTTGGTAGATCCACATAAAGTTCTTTCCTTTTAATGTTTTCCACTTTGCGAAGCGCACCAGTTCCTCACCTGACATGATGCTGCCACCACTGTATTGGTGTTCTTAAGCTTTCAAGCGTCCTCCTTTTCAGACCGCAGGACAAGTATCCAAAAACATTTGTGCCCGACTGTTGACTTTTTTGGTTGCTGTTGAAGTGATGACTTCTTTCTTGCTGAGAGGCCTTTTAGCCCAGATAATATAGCATGACTTATAGTCACCAGAAACCGGACGGGAAAAACCTGCTTTAGGATTTCGTCTGTTTGCAAGAAGCAGCCTTATCGCATTCTTTGCTTCTCGTAAACATCCAGCATCCGCCACTCGGCTGACAGGTTCCTGCAGCTGAGGTGAAAGCAGACACGAGAGCGGCGCTCTGCACCAGGGTCCCCGCAAGAGTCACATTCGGCTCTGACTCGCGCTTCACGGCTCTGTTTCTGCGCGAGACAAAACTTGAGCCACCCTGCAGGAACAAAGTCATGATGTGGCTTCAATTCAGCGTCTAAATCCTTTACAGCGCATAGGATTGATGCTGTCAGGAGGGAAACAAATGTTTAAAAATAAACATACTGAAAAGTATGTTTTGATAGAATTTGAATCTATAATAGAAAAAAACCCTAAAACATTATAGATGTATAAGTGCTGCAAATTGCTGTACTCACTGGGACATTAAACTGGTTTAACACCAGAGATTTACTGATGTCAACTCCTGTGCTATTTTTTTTTTTTTTAGAAATTCCTCGGGGAGTTTTTGGCTTTTCTCTCATCATAAAGTGAAAGTACAATTGTCTAAGAAACCTAATCAGATGTGTGAGAGCAGGGTGTGGTGTAAATAACAAAGCTGAGTGTTTGTCTTACTGGAAATGAAAGTCAGGAAAGTTCAGAGGGTAAAATACTGATTAAACAGTGGGCAACCTTTTCAGTTTTTCTTTTAAATGCACAACTCAAAGAGTGTCTTGATTGTGGAAACAAAATCAGAATCACATTTTTTTTTTCTTCCCATTTTGAAATCACAACTCATACAGCTGGAAAAGTACAATGCATGAGCTTCACTTGAAGAACACAAAAATAAATATTCATTATGTTAATCACTGTTTTTGTAGTTTATTAAAATTGAATTTGAGACCAGGCTTTCGGTCCAGAGAAGGGGGAGAGTGGAGGAGTTCAAATATCTCAGGGTCATGTTCACAAAAGTTTTATGCTTGTTTTGTTTGCATGGAGCTTCCACTCATCTCCTGTGCCAGTTTCATTTATGAAAGGCCACATGTGTGTGCGCGCGCGTGTGTTTAAAACATCGCAGGCAGTTTGTGATTTATGAAGCAACTCGGAAAGGAGGTCATCTTTATCAATTTATGTTAAAACCGTTTTGCGAGAAAGGCTGTTGTTAGAAGAAAAACGCTGGTGATGAAGCCATTACTGACCGCATGTTTATGTACACTTTTTCCAATTAATCTTAATTTTTCTTCTATTCAACCATATTGATCCATTGGATTTATGAAAAATGAATGAACGCAACAATCCACGGCTGGCAGCCACAGCATTTTTTGAGCAATAGGGAACACAATACAAATTATTATTTTTTAATGTTTACGTAATGACTCTCGGAAATTGCTATACATTTACTTAAGCTTATAATACTATAATAAACAGCCCATCCCTGCAGTAGATGACAAGAGGCAGACAATGAATCTGATGGACAAGATGGAGAAAAAAAAAGTTATTTATTGGTTTTAAGTTTTTACCACAAGACATGTCAGAAACTGTGTAACGTGACGAGGCTGACAAAATAACCTGACAGAACAACACTGATTTCTGACAAAACATAAAAACTTTTTATGACTCACAGATGTCAACAACACAATACGCTTCGACACTCCGTCTCATCTGAGCCTGTTAAAAAGAGGACACCGACATTATTATCTACGATATATGAAAATGGAGAATAAATGATTGCTTTCGACCCAGTGAGACAAATGTCACAGATATATTTTAACTGCGTTGATCTTAAGGTCAAAATAACTTATTTTAGTTCTCAGACTGCACATAAAACACAAGCTGCTGTATTTCCCTGAGTGAGTGCAGCTGCTCGTTGTAGAAAAAGATGGGACCCCTGATTATTTATACAGAAATGAAATCCTTTTTACTTTTGCAAATAGGCTAAATAACTTTCTAAAAGATCAAGCTTGCTTTGGGTTTATTCATTAATATTTTCCAACGAGGAATCCTCATTCTGTCTCTGTAATGTTGACTCAGAATTGTGCTTCTCATAGCAAAACCTTCCTCAGGGACGACCCGACCTCGACACCCAGAGGCCACAACAATGGG